TTTTTCTCCTTTTTCCGCTTCCTCTCCTTAAAAAAAAAAGTATAGTAATTTTATCTGCACTTTATCACCTTATTATCGTCGTGCAACTTAGGCAGATTTCTTCCAAATATTCGTGATCGATCCGACACGTTATATGTCTAAAAATATTTTGTTTGACCACTGAATGTAAACATAAATGCTGTTATCATGTAAAGCCACATTGTTGGCTTTACTGATATATGGTTTATCCATCCAAATAATTTTCTGCATACTCTGTTGCTCTGAGAAAATTCCACCCTTGGTATCGCCTGCTAAACTAATACTAAAATGTAATCAAACAATTTAAAAACAGCCAATCGCGGAAGACAGTGCGTTATCCCAACGAAACTAAATTTTTTGTTGTTGGAAGAGCAGTCGCCCGGCAAGCGAAAGGTCTCGGGTTCAATTTCCGATTCAGCGACTTTCGGATCTATATTTTTCTCTTACATTTATTTATTTCCGTAGGGGGGTTAAAGGATTATTAAAATTAAATCTCAAATATGAGATTATTTCATATTTTAAAATCTTGGCAGTGACCAAGTAAAATTTGGTGCCTTGTGCACAGATATTTAATTCTAACGAAAAAATTTAATTTTGTTGGGATAACGCACTGTCTTCCGCGATTGGCTCATATTGCCTGTCTTACACTTTAAATTTATATTTATATGACAGAGCCTTGTTAAACTCTTAATTTAAAAAGAATTGTTGATGTTTATTTTTCAGCATTAATAGCGAACGTTAAATTATAAAGGATTTATAGGAAACTTGAATATATTATACAAAAACTGTATTTGCTAAAAAACAGTAATAAAGTAATAAATATATAAGTAAAAAGAGAAGAATATGCTTGACGATTTAAAATTTAAACGATAACATTTATAGTCTACCAAAAGCTGAAATAATCTAAATAAATTTTATCATTTATTTCCTTGATAATTTTATTTATAGCATTCTAAATCAATTAATAATTTTTTAATAATTTGTTTTTGTGAATATTTATATTTTATTGTTCCACATACATTAACAGTGAAAAAAAATTGCAATACGTATGCCGAGTTTGTAAATACTCAGAATATAACCTACAAATTGTTTTAGCTGGCGAGAGCAAAAATGAAAAAGAGTAAGATTCGGAAGAGAAGAGAAGAGGGGAGAGAGAGAGAGAGGAGAGGGGGAGAGAGAGAGTATGAGAGAGAGAGAGAGGGAGGGAGGGAGGGAGGGTGAGAGGTAGCGCGCTTCCCGTAGTTTGTCCAAAGTTACTGAAATCTGGGGCAACGGATATACGTCTTTCTCGGTGACGTCATTTACCCGGTGAAAGTTGATATAGAATTGGTGCTTGCCGTCTTTCTTTTTAAGGGGATACCGGAGATATGTTTTTACCGACTGAATGCGAATATTTAGTTTTTTTAAATATCAAGGAGGGGTCGAGGCGTTGTGATTGAATAAATAGTATTTGCCAGTACGGTCGAGAGAAGATTCTTATTTTTTTAAATATCTTTTTATATTGACTATATTGATCAATAAATCCTTTTGCATGATTAAAGTACTTATAAAAACGGACCGCGCTAGCTATAATTCCATATATAAATCATATAAAAATGAAAAATTACAGTTTTGTTATTGGCTTTTTTGTGTCAGTTCGTAACAATACTTATTTAATAAAAAAGTTCTGCAGTTTGTCTGTGCATAAGATATATGTAGTTCGCGCGATAGGGATAACAAAGAATAAAACAATTAGAAGTGAGATTACAAATCTAATAAAAAAGTTATATATAATAAATTTTCACGCGTATTTGTGTGTATATGCATATTTGCGGTTATGTGTGGTGCTATCGGAGTTTGGGCCTCGATAATTCCTTTTCCATTTCGGTGTCTTCGTTATCGATAATGGCCTGCATCGCCGGATTACGCGGCCGGTACCTTTGCTTAATCGGCGTCGGATCTTTAAGTCGAATACGGTGCTGGGTGACCTCCGTGGGTCCTCTAACCTTAACAGCGCGAGTGGCGAGGAATTCGGCGAGTTGTTGGTCTTCTTCCGGGGTTCGCGGAGCCAGTCCGTCGGCGAAACTGCATTTCGGTGATCTCGCGGCGCGAGTGTTACACGGCGGTGGCAAAGTCAATCCCGTTTGGCTCCACAAGTCAATGTTGATCAACATCTCGCTCTCTAACGACGACAAAATGGCGAACTCGTGGTGATAGGTTCGACCTTGCATCTGTACGGGCAGCGTGATCGCGCCGGGTATTTCCGCGTGAGTGCCATCGGCGAATTGCACTTGGTCGACGCCCGTGTGGTCGCGGTACCCCCACGTCCGGACAGTTGTCGGCAGTTGCAGTATTTACGAAAGACTTCCGATCCGAAGTCGAGAGGCGCGGTGAAGTTTCGGTTGTTAATACGGACGGTGACGTGGAGTCGCGCGTCGGTCCGTACGATCTCGGCCCCTTTCGAGTTTCCCAGTGTCGGTGGGTAACATTGATTTGTCAAAACCCCGTCGCGGCCACACTGAGAGCAAAATTTCTGCGGGGCGTCAGCAGTCGAAACGTGTGTGTCCACGTTGTTTACACCGCCGTTGTTTACAACATTATTCGGCGCAGTTATAGACCGCGGCCACGTTCGATTTTTTCGATCGTGGATTTCTCGGTTTTCCGAAGGTCTTTGCGCTCGATATGGAGGGTGCATCGCAACGATGGGGGGGGGGGGGTGCACCGTCACAAATATAGCAGAAAAGCAGTAAATAAATTTTATTAATCTTGATTAACTGATCGCTATCAGTTGATTCTCAATTGTATAATCGGTTATGGTCCTTATATATTATTTATATTATATAATATACATAAATGTATGTTAATATATATATATATATATATTTCATACTTTTTATTGTATTATAAGAATGAATAAAAAAATAAGCTGATAAAAAGACAAGAAAAGATGGTTACATTATAAAAATTTTAATTATTAAGAAGAATAAATTTCATCAAGTGTAACTGTTTTAGTTAAATCGAACAAAATTATATTTTAATAATAACTACTTGCAATATACTTTCTGTCTGTTTTATTTGTTTTCTTAGGCATTTTAATATTGACCATAGGGATCTATTTATGTATTTAAGTATTTTTGGCGTTTTAATATTGACCATAGGGATCTTTTATGTATTTAAGTATTTTTGTTTTATTACATTTTACTTTTAATATTCTACATTTATATTAATTTTAAAATATATTTTTTGCACAAATACAAAATATAGACATAATTCTTTCCACTCGCTAGTTAATAAATAGATGAATCAAATAATCGACCAAACTAGCAAAAATCAATTTATTTAATTTTACGACGTTTTGATCAAGTGATTGTGGTTTTTATCAAGTGAACCAATAACACTACAAAAAATAATTTAAAAATAATCTTAAAATACAAAGCTAAATAAAATAAAAAATAAAAAAATAAAATAATAACTACTCAAAAACCGCATATAATATTGTACAACTGCAAACACGATATTCTATTGTAGTAATATCCCTGGTAACATTTCCATTGCAGTTCTGCTGTAAAATTGTACGAAAAGTCGTGCATGAACTTTCGGACAGATCATGCGTCTTCTATTTCCAACTTTGACTAGTTTTCTGTTGACAAAAACTTACGTCGTCATAGTGTAACGGAATTGCAAACGATATGTGGCAGCTTTTACTGCTAATAATTGTAGTTATATGCATTTACATATAGCAGAATACTACAAGAAATGCAGTAGATGCTTGCGCAAGTCGCAGTGCAACATAATCGCGCCAGATTTGTGGCTGCATCTATTGCTAATAATTTTGCAGAAATGCGCATTTATATACAACATAATTCAACAAGAATTACGGCAGATGCTTGCGTAAAAAATAGAGCAGTAATGCAAAAGATTTTGGCAGAATATACTGTGTAGTAAAAATTACACAAATAAAATGCATTAATTATGCAGCAAATTATAATAATCACTTTAAATTCTTTTAATTATAATTCCACTGTTTTAAAAATTTGATTTCCACGGTTTTAGATAATCCAATGAAAATCAAGTTCAAAATAATGGAATTTTATCAAAACAATATAATAAAAAGTGTTTACGGCAATTTTACTGCATAATTTATAATTTTATTTGTGCAATAATGCTATCACTGCATAAATATTAATTTAACATTTTTATAAATTTTATTATTATACTCAGTTAGAGTTTTTTGTAGGATATATAATGAATTTTTATTTATTTTTTAATACAAAACTATTAATTTCTAATGTTAATGAATTTAAAATATTTAAGAAAAAATAATTTAAAAAACTTTTCAATAAAAGTTTTTAAACAGTTTCGGAATTTAAAAAATCATTAACAACCATTTTCTAAGTATTATTAAATCTTTTGAAAACTCAACTTATATAAAATGAATACATTTGAATTATAAATATTTATCAATTAGAACTTTATTAATATTATAAATAATATTATTCTTGTAATATATATATATGTATATATATATGTATTTAATTATATATATTTATTATAATTAATAAACATAATTTTTGGTAATTTAAAGGCATTCAAAACAAAAAATGTTGATCTTTGCAATGTTTTCTTATAAACTATTAACTAATGGGGCCAAAACATCAACTTAATGGAATAAGAACGTTTTCTATTTGAAACACTAAATATTTTAAACAAAACTAGAACTTGTAATATATATATATATATATATATATATATATATATATATTATAATATATATTATATATTATTAAACATAACTTTTGGTAATTTAAAGGCATTCAAAACAAAAAAGGTATTGAGAACAAAAAATATTTTTCTAACTGTTTTCTAACTACACTCTGCCCGGGCCCTAAAACATCAACTTACTGGAATAAGAAAACGTTTTCTATTTGAAACACTAAATATTTTAAACAAAACTAGAACTTGTAATATATATAAATGTATAATATATATATATATATATATATATATATATATATGTATGTAGTGTATATATATTATTATAATTATTAAACATAACTTTTGGTAATTTAAAGGCATTCAAAACAAAAAAGGTATTGAGAACAAAAAATATTTTTCTAACTGTTTTCTAACTATACACTCTGCCCGGGCCCTAAAACATCAACTTACTGGAATGAGAAAACGTTTTCTATTCGAAACACTAAATATTTTAAACAAAAGTAAAGCTCTTATAATATGCAGGAATTTATATCATGAAATCTTTATATCTATATATCGATATTTTCATCTTTATACCTATAAGTAAAAATTTAAATTGTTTTTGTCAATCTTCATTAATCTTCGATCATTTTAATTACTGTATAAATTATTCATATCTTGTAAATGATTTCGTCGGCCATTACGTTCTCGGTTTTCTCTTCGAACTCGATCTCGATGTCTTTGCTTAGCAACTCTTAATGCAGCCTGCATAAGTTGATTAAAACTTTCTATTGAAGTTTTTTCAAACTTATTAATTACTTCTAAAACGTAACAAATACTTATATAATATTTATTAAAACATTAAAAAATTGTATTTTGTAATCTTATTTTATTTTACTGTATCAAAACTCAACATTGTTAAATTTAAAATATTTACGAAAAAATAGTTATTTATTGTTTATGGAATGTTTTCATAAAAAAAGTATTTTATGTACATGTCTTAAAAAGCTACAAATATATGTATTTCTCGAAATTTTAGAACTTTAAAAAATATTCTAATTCCATTAAATCAATCTATTATGTTTTGAAAAAAAAAACGTTGTCAGCTTCTAGTGTATGTTATATCTAAATTGATATTGGTAATTTGTTTAAAAACTAATTAATAATAAAATGCTCGAAAGTTTAAAAAAAATCACAAATCCTTCGCACGAGGGTTATATATATCATTTTGAAAGGGTCTTTTTCAAAACTCAAAATTATATAATTATATGAAATGAAAATCTATTTTGAAGGAATGCTGATGTTAACGTTTGCAAAATTTTAAGATAGGTCATTGATGAAATATACAGAAATTGTTGAGGAAAAGGATTTATTAAAGCGGAAGAGAAAAATAGATCTAAAGTTTTCCGCTATACCATACAGCAACTCAACAATTGTAATATCAATTACCAATATCAGGAATAACATACACTAGAAGCTGACACGTTTTTTTCAAGACATAATAGATTGATTTAATTAAATTAGAATAACTCTTTAGAGTTCTAAAATTTCGAGAAATACATATATTTGTAGCTTTTCAAGACATGTACTTTTTTTTTAAACGTTCTATAAACAATAACATTTTTTCAATTTTTCTGAATAAAATTTGTTGAGTTTTAAAAATCATTATTTAAGAATATGATTCGCAAATAAGAATACTTACGGAACATCATTTTACTCAGCCGTGTGTCATATAATGTCTTGTGTGATGCAGGTTCATTTTCCGCATTTTCCGGTTCTTCATCATTACTTTCCTTATTATTTTTTTTAGCCCACTTAAATTGGCATGCAAGTTCATCTGAGATAGAATATCTAAGGTACTGTCTCAAAGCAACTTTTGCATTAGGATTTCCCCACCAAATAAAATAATTTCTCTGTAAAATATTTTAAAGAGTCAGTAGTGTTATATTATGCAAGTTATTATTAAAGTAGGAATTTATTAATTATCCATAAAAGATATTAAAAATATGACAAAACTTTTCGAATCTGAAAAATTTTAATTTTGTGATAAATAATTGTGTAATAGTTAAAGAATTTTAAAAATATTGTATTTTGTATTATCGAAAATAGCAAAACCATTTTAATATTCCGAAAAGCAAAATGCAAATTTAAAAGTATATTTATATTTAATATTTTTATATAATCAAAATATGTATAAGTAAAACATGTTGTTCCACTTACTAGTTCTCCCTGCTTTTCCTTATTTTCCTCGAACTCTTCAAATTCTTGCATATTTTTAATGGAAAACCTTCTGGAAGCGAATATACTGGGTAAGCTCCATCGTTATTATTTGCGTTTTTGTTTCTAAAAATAATTTAGCTCAGTTTATACTCAAAATTAATATTTAAGAGGATATGAATAAATCTTGATGGATTCTACTTTACATAAACCTAAAAATCGTTTCTATTATCCATTCAAATTATCTTCTTTTTATTGTACAATTTCTTTTATCTTTTAAGATAAATTTTGATAAAAATTTATAGATTTTTAGAATAGAAAATTACGTTCATGCATACTTACACTTGTAAATTATCTAATTTTGTATTGAAGTAGGTTTTCAGTTCATCTATTTTTTTATCAAAATAGTTTTGCATATTGTTAATTTTGTTCGAAATATTTTGTTCCTGAGTTTCGCAAAACGTATGCATTTTCTCCTGAAATTTTTGGAAGAATATTTCTTGCGATGCGCTCAAGTCTTGCAATGTCTTTAAGTTATTTAAATTGACATTTTCAGGATTTTCATAACTTATATGACCATAATTATGATTGTGAGAATTGTAGAATTGCGGAATATGTCCATGTGTAAAATTATCCGGTGCGGGTTCTGTAAAAATTTGCTATTATGTAGTGTTTTATTTAATTTTATTAATTTTAATACATTGCACGTGTGAAAATATTTTACCTGAGGTATGTAATCCTTGTGTATATGTGGATGAAGCAGTATCATTAGTGTTCCAACTGTCATAATAGCTATAATTTGAAGTAACAGCTGGAGTAGATTTATTCCACATTTTAATTTGTGGGGAATTGTTTTGAACAGTACCTAGGTAAATTAATGTATAACATAATAATTTTTTTTTACATAATTGACGAATCTGAAGTTGCATTATTTTAACATATAGTGTCTAAAAATATTTTTTTGGAATACAAAAATAATTACTTGTTTCGGCAATTATCCCTGAGTTGAAATCGTAAATAGAATGATTATTTGAGGAACATATCACATCATCTCTTTGATCATAATTATTTTGTAATGTTTGTGTTGAACAACCAGGTGAGTTCAAATTATTATTTCTATGCTGTTCAAGTAGCTGTTCCGATGTTGTTTTTTTGTTTCCTTTTTTTTGTCAAGCCCGACTGGTTTAACTTGATTTTCTACTTTTTTGGAAGTTGGTCTTATTAATTTGTCTTGATTTCCTTCTTTTTTCCGAGTTAATTGTTCATTTCTTTCATATCTTTTCTTCATTTCAACATCGTTCTCACTGTCAGTAGAAAAATTAGATTCATTATCAGATGATTGACTTGATGCCTCATCTGATTCTTCAGAATTAGAATTTCTGAATACTGTTGTCATTTCTTCTAATATTTTATTTTTAGCCTTTTCCTTATTCGTTGGCTTATCAGAATCTGTAGTACAATACTTTTTAGGCTTTCTTATTGTACGTCTTTGTCGATTACATTTTGAACCTTTGTCAGACATTTTTTATAACGCTGCGGATCAATACGCAAATATATATATATATATATATATATATATATATACATATAGTTTTTTTTAATTTTTTAGTGGAAATAAATTTAATATAAAGTTGTGGGGATAAGAAAATAAACTATATATTGAAGGATTTACATTGACAGATTTTAAATCTATATGCAAATATGATAAAATATTTGCGATCATAAACGTGCGAATAAAACTAATTAATATAATGTAACAAAGTAGAAACAATATATTCATCAATATTTTTTTCTGATTTCTGAGTTGAAGAGAATGACCCTGACCAACTTGGCATACTATAGCACTTCGCAGTTATATAATTTATGCTGATTAATTGTAAGTCTTCTGATAACTCTTTGCATTTATAAACTCCGACAGTTGAAGATTGAATTGGCAATTTGTAAAAATTTGTAACATTTTTAAAAGTTTGTACTACAAAAAAAACATCTTCATTTATAGTCAAAATATTTTTAATTTTACAAATAAATTTATCCCGAATCTTGCAAAAACTGTTGCAATCATCTATTGTAAAATTAAATTTATTTGACTGATAATTTTTGTATTGTATAAAATTGGTATTAGCAATACATTCAGGAATAACACCATTTGTGTGTATTACTGAAAGGCGATGATTCTCAGGATGACGTTCAGGTATATGTTGTATATAATTTTTTTCTCGTAATCGATTTGCGAATTGCTGAAGTGGACGTGGATGATTTCTAATATTTTTTTTAAAAAACGGCATATTATTTTCATAAACAAATGCTGAACAATTTTCTAAATGTCCTAATTCCTTTACATCATCAACTAAATGTTGCAATCCATGAACATTGTAACTTACAAAGCTCGCTGTATAAAGATATTCTGCATGTTTAACAAACATTTGTAGACATTTCTCAGCCGTTTCTAATTGCCTTTTCGAACATTTAATTGATGTGACTATTCTCATGGCTACATTAAGTAATAGCAAGTGGAAATAAAATTCTTCAGCTAAAATTCCGAACGAAATAATTGGTGCTGCATATAAAAGAAAATGTCTTAATTCAGTTGCTTTGAATTTAGAGAATTTCGCGAGAGATCTAGGACGACGTGCAAATTCGTTTGGGCAAAACTTGTTTAACTCTACATATCGTGAAGACAATTCATTAAGCGCTGAGCTACGTAGTTTCCCTGCATATCCAAATTTGCCATCATACCACGCACTTAATAGTCTCACAGTAACACCAAGGTATACCAGATGCATAATTTCAAAAGGCACTCCTGTGACAATTGGTATTCCAAGATCTTCTAATGGACTTCTTCCTTTTTGATGATCCTCATCCACACAAGATATATATTGTTCATTTGTTCGTTTTTCATGATTGATGCCCAAGTAAACCATTCGATTCTCATGTCGGACGCCATTAACTTTACATTTAGAACACGGATTATACGAATTGTGTCCATAATGATTTAAAACTAAAGCTCTCGCTGGAGCGTCGGCAACAAAATTTTTAAACACTATAGGAATATGACGATTCCGTATTAGTATTCCTCCTAGTCCATTATTAATTTCTTTTACCTCATCAATAAAATTGTTAAAAAAGCTATATACATTGCAAGGTTTTTCAAGTCCTTTATATACACCTATAATCACCGGCTTGAAATAAGGAATATTAATGATCCTATATTGTAAAGGCCAATATTGCATAGGGTTGCTTTTACTCAATGACAAACCGTCAGTGTTAAGTTCTATTTCTAGAACAGGCGGAATTTCATCTGCAACGTAAAACGAAAGGTGCTTTTCTAATGTTTTTACAAAACCAATATGCCAATATACACCTGAGCCAATCGGTACTAAGTTAATGCGATCACGACTTGTTTTTAAAAGAGTTCTGCTATCTTGTGGTAAATTCCGAAAACATTTATGCATACGAAGTACTCTTAAAATTGCTTTACTCTGAACATGATTTATATTGTTTTCCAGGCAGCATTGTCGTAAAAGCTTTTGAAAGTTTTCTAAACAATCAATTTCGATATGAGGTTGTGAATCTTCATGTACTATTTCTTTTACTACATTATCATGAGCATTTGACGTTTCTGATAAAAAGTCTAAAGACGTTTCTTCAAAGTAGGTGGTAGAAGGTAATTCTTTTTCAGTTTCATTACTTTCCAAATTTCTACAAGTCACATAAGAACGATTTTCTTCAAATGAATAAGTTAAGGAATTATTACTTCCATTTTGATCTTGTAAGTGTGTTCTGTCTACAGAAAGATGAAATTCTTTACGAGTGCGTAAACGATTATATTGTTGACGACTTGATAAATTCTGAAAAGATTTGCGATTCGTCCAATTCATGATGTTTCCTTTGATATCAATTAAGACTTTCCAATTTAATTACTCAGGTGCACCACTGTCAAAAAAATTAAGACTGAGTGAGAAATGTAATAAGGCAAAGTCCAATCATATTGAAATCTTAAAAATTCGAATAAGAAAAGCTACAATTTTATTAAACAATGTATAGATAAATTAACAATAAATGATAAATCTTAATATTTTATAGTTTTTCAAAATTACAAAAAAACATCTTTATTAATAACTTAAAAGGATGTTGAAGTCAAGTGGTCACATTTGAGCTTTCAAATTGAATATTTACAGTTTACAAAATATAATTGCATGTAAAACAAAATACGTATTATAATTATATATATATTGATATATATTATATTGATTGTGATAGTGTAAACACCTCCAACTTCAATTTTGTGAAATAAATGCAAATTTTCTTTTATATTACGCAAGAGTTACCAAAAACAACTTATAAAAAGTATGCCAACGCAGTTGTAAAAGTTACATAATAATAAAAATATTTATTAATAATATTTGAATAAAATCTATCAATGCATATAGGTTGCTTATTTATCTATGTAATATAAGTAAATATTAATACTACACATTATAGACTTATATCCATATACATACTATTGTGTACCATTATATTACTTATATCTAATATAATTGTCTTATATATTTATAACGCCTACAAGAAGCTTTATATCACTAATTGCAGTATTCATTATTAAAAAATTTAACTTATTCATAGATAGATATACATGCATAAATAATTGCATATGAAAATCTGTCAATTATATAATATATATAATTTATATGTCTACGGAATAAATAATTTTCTTTGTAATTGAATAATAATAAGAAATAATACTGTGTATACACACACACATATATATATATATATATATATATATACTGGCCTTGCACATCATAGAGAAATAATATTAGAAATAGAAATAAATATTAAGCATTAGGTCTATTGTATAATAAAACAAGTATAGATAATAAGAGCAGAGACAAAATTATTCATGCAGATAGATATTATAGGGGATAACAATATATATATAGATATTCCCTGCTTCTATATTGATAAATATTTTCTATTTTCAGTTCAGCTTGTACTTTTGTATTGTGCAATGAGCCTATAATGCTTAATATTTATTCCTAATTCTATAAATGTTTTCTCTATTATGCGCATATGCCTTATTATTATTATAAATACCAATCAATATATGAAGTTATAATAAAATATTGACATTCCAGTATGTATATTCTTGATAAAGATATTTATATAACACTATTTGACACAATTTTACAATGACAATTTAACAACCAATTTGAGAGTTATATGACTTGCATAAAAAAGATTATCAAAAATCCCATATACAGGTTATGTGTGCAACATATATACTACATATAATATACTATTTAATGAAGAGAAATAATACTTACCAATTATGATTTCCAATAAATTCAAATGAATATGACGAAGTATATATATATATATATACTGACGATTCCACAATAATATAAATTATTTAACAACACTGTACACTGAACCGTCCCTTCGTGGTTCGTGGCGTATAGCTAAGAAGAAACGCCATTTTGGTGTGGCCTAGGGATATAGCTTATATCTGCTTATATATTTTAAGATTTCAATGACAGAAATACGAAAAGAACGTGCAAGCATCTGTTTGACAGAAAAATAACAGCCAAATGCGCTACAAATATATTTGCAGCAGAGTATAACGAAATTTTTGTCAAAAGCTTTGTCAAATGCTTGCACGTTTCTTTCGCATTCCTGTTATTGGGATCTGTATAGCAAAACGAACAATTTAAGCGACATATATTTATGAAATTTTGCTGCCAATATGTTTAAAGAGTCTAATACACTCAACTACCATTTTTCTGACGGGCAGATGCTTACAAATTCTTTTCGCATTTCTGCCGCTCGGATCTGTACTCAAAACTCAGCATTTTAAATGACAAAAACTTTTGTTACTCTGCTGTAAATATGCGTGAAGAGTCTAACGCGCTTTGCTGCTATTTTTCTGTCGGGCAGATACTTTAGAATTATTTTCACATTTCTGCTGCACGTCTACTTTTAATAAATTATATAAAATTTTATACTAGCTTCTTACAGCAGACTGCTGCAATAGTGCAGTAAGTACTCATTCAATAAGAGATATTATGCAATTCTGTCACAAATTTGGACAGTTTTCTTGTGCACTTCTTTAGGACGTATCTGAGCTGCCAGATTGTGTTACCAGGGCAGGGTTAGCAACCGAGCGTAAACCGGGATTTTGCGAGATGTTACGCTTATCGAGAACAATACCTTCGGTTTTCTCGTACTCCCGCAGGTATTGCTCTTTAGCATCATTATCCGCGCATTTACTCGGCCATCCGCTCTTGTTTAAGTTATAGAAATAAGTTTATATATTCGGCGAACAATCCACCCTGCCGTGTTTCGCGATTATATTGACTAATTTTATATTCCCAAATTTCATTTACTTTAGTATCTTGTGACTAAACGTATACGATGGCCTTGCGTAATTCGCAGCTCACCCACGTACCCTCGAATTCGCGTTTGCTAGGCTCGTGCGTACATTCCGTCTGCGAAAATGTTTCACAGCAACTACGACACAGTGTGAATAATAATTTTCCGTGCGTGCAATACGGAAGTACGGATGAAATAAATCGCGCGGAGGAAGTATCGTACAGCATACGAGACCTTCGACGGTGTCAAAATTATAATTCGGAACCGTACCGATTAAAGTTGAACATTCATCGCCGATATAAATGTTGGGATGACCGATAGAGAAAGCACCCGTCTTCAATACATACGGGTATAACGAACATACTAGTTTTATGTAGCGTATTTTTTCCGCACCTGTGATTTTACAAAGAGTCGCGATATTTCCCGTGCGTCTACCGAAAAATGCGTCGCGAGCGGTGTTGTTTTCACCATCGGATGATTCTCGAGAAATTCGCGCATCTCACGATTATCCCGCATTTCTCGATCAAAGCTACACTTCCATTTTTCCGTCACCCCCGCTGCCGAAGCCGCCACGAGATTGCGAGAATTCGCTCGTATCGCGAGTCAATCGTATCTCTACGTTCCTCAGCCGACAAAAGCGATCTATTGCGATTATCGGAAAGCACGACGTACATCCGTGCCAAAAGCAACAGTGGAATTGCAACATGTGACGCAATATTACTCCCGTTTCCGATGTTTCTTCATAATACCAACGACGAGTGTGCCGTCAATCGTACGGTATTCGCGCGCATACCCTGCGTGGATTATAGGACGACCGAGCTCGCGCTCCTTCCATACCAACCACTGTAGAGCTTTGCGCGAATGTATGTTCGTTTTTCTGTATCCGCCCACTGGAATGACGCCTATTATATTCGGCTGTAAGAAGTTTTTCCGAAAAACTGTCATACACGTTCAGTACCGGCTTTAGGGTAGGGCGCAGTGGGGGCGACTGCCCGGGGCGCCGGATCTGTAGGGGCGCTGCTGCCCGGTGCCCCATAGAGTCCCTCTAATAAGATGTCGCGACTCTTATTAGAGGGACTCTAATGCCCCCTAGTATGCAAAAGTACCTATATCTCCTCACTGTGTTATACCCTGACATGCTCTCTATACTTTTGTATATCTTTTGATTCTTTTGTCTCACATCTGTATTTATCATGGCTATCGCGTTCTCCGCTTTGTGCGGATCTTCATCGCCACGCTTGACGCTCGACTCCCTCATCACGCGGGCGCCTTCCGTAATCTCTCAAAAACTCTAGTTTAAGCTTTGTCCTCTAAAAACCCAAAATAATAAAAGTATATAAAATACAAAAAAATACAAAAAATAAAAATATAAAAAAATATAAATATATAAAAAAACAAAAGCAAAAAAGGAGCTACAAAAACTTTCTACGTCCACGTCGTTAGCTCTGGGTAAAGCTAAAAGAAAGTTTTCTGAATTTTTATATGCGTGCATTCGTTTATATCCGTTTAGACTAGTAAAGATATCGAAAATTGAATGGGCGCCACGATAATCTTGCCCAGGGCGCCAATAATGCTAAAACCGGCATTGTACACGTTGAAGCAATAGTTGTACATTCCTCGAACGGATATACATTTCCGTGAGCTATAAAAATTTTTCTAAACGCCATGCACGCTCGTCGACGTATATCAACATCGGTACGGCAAAATTGTACTATCTCGCGTTGAAAATCAAACACGGTGTTTTTTAACCGCATGTCCGTATGCCACGCGAGAAAGCATTCGCGCTCTTTCGATTTCATGATTTCGGGAGAGTAATAATGCGCGTCGGGTAATGGTCCGACATACATTTGATTTTCGATAGTATTGAATAAATGCGGAAAAATGCCTTTACCCGATGTATCCTTCAGCCCGAAAGCCTTCGGCAAATCGGATAATTGCATTGGCATATAATTCACGCTATCGATAAACTTTGTATGTCCAACTGTTAATACGACGATTTTTGTTCCGTTCAAAATCACTTTCGGCGCGAGATTGACACGATTTTCTACGATATATTTCAAAATAAATTGAACGTCGAACGCTTTCGCATTGTGGGCTATGCAAATTATCTGTGTGAAATATTTCGTCCTTCGCGTAGCAAAGTCGACAAAATATTTCACTGGATCATTACGAAATACGAACTCTCGCACTCCGCACCAGTGACAACGCACGGAGATATCGTTGTTTTGCGCGCACGCTTCGCAAATTTGTTGCGCGACGCAAAGTGTCGGGATGTGTCTTTTTGCGGACGTTGTACCTTCGAGCGTTTCGTCCTGCCGTGTTTCAAAATCATAAAACACGAATGCTACGCGTCCCTTTCTATCTGTCAATGCCGATTTGCTCGCTTCTTTGTTATTATTTATGTTTTCTTTCTCCTCGACGGATACATCTACCGTCACCGTCGTCGCTTCTACCTTCGGAGGATGTGTCGACGACGACGGCTCGGTAGAAGAATTAACGTCGTTGCGCAGAGGTCTCATATAACACAAATGATTTCGAGGTTGCTCCGAATGGCATAATCTGCAGTAAGAAACGCCGCATTCGTGCCTCGCTTTCGCTTTAATTATACATCCGCATTTATTGCAAAATCGTATGACGCTACAAACACTCGCGAGCGATTTACCGTCATAAGATTTTTCTCTACGATGACGCTCGAAACACGTAGCACTGAAAAACGTCCGATTGCACGCGTCGCATTTTACTATTTGCGCGTCGTCAGAGTGTTCGCACGGCGGCGCGGTAAAACATCGCGGACATTTATTCGAGCACCGGTGACCGCCACCTCTATCGTTTCGGAAGCCTACATTACACGTTACGCAAAAATTACGAGAACCCGCAGCGGCTTTTAAAGGACCCCGCACAAAATAAAGGGAAACCGGTGTACAGTTAAATGGGCTGGGGGTGGAGTATGTTGTAGTTCAAGACATCCCGATGAAAAGTTGCAATGGGCACAAGCTCCGAAAATGGCCAGTTTTTTAGATAAAATGAGTCAAAAGTTGAAAATGTCGATGCCCGCAATTACTAGTATAAAATAGTGTAAGGAGTTATTTAACAATGTTATTCGAATGTATTTGTAATACATGCCTACACACACGGTACGTATATGTATACAAACTACCGTCGGCATTAGCGTCACCCAATGTGCACCACGTGGAGGTTGCGCGATCGGATTTGCACATCATTTGGGCCCTGATAAGGGCCTTTTTTGTCATTGAAACATTCAAAATGGTTCAATAACTTCTCCTTTGATTTCTTCATCTTGATTATATCTATTAGCAGCGTCTTTTATGTGATTAAGTAATGTGACGCTGGGATATTTAGTATTAGGTTGATGTCGTGCGTATCCTAAAAACCAGAGAACACTTGCAACATGAGCACATAAACCCAGTGTTCGTGAACCTGATACACAAGTACAGTAATAACCCGTTATGGGTTCATTATTTTCATCTCCATGAGGTCTGTAAGCAATTCATAATTGATGCTTCGTTGCATTGCGGAATCGAGAGTACACCCGAACTCTAAGAAGGCCAGCTTCATTTCTGTGTTCATCAAGTTCAAATACTTCAGATTCATCGCGCACCAGTTTGTCTTGAATATTCGATTCATGCACACGTGTTATTACTAGTATAAAATAGTGTATGGAGTTGTTTAATGATGTTATTCGAATATATTTGTAATACATGCCTACACACACGTTACGTATAGATATATGGTATATCCGAAAGACGACGATGCATGAATCGAATTCTGTAAACAAGAAGCTTTAGCGGCCGTATATTGTTTGTCTCGTCGTTTTCGACAGTGATGTAACGCGGCTATTATATGACATCGAGCTTAGTGCGGCACGTTTATAAATCCACAGATAGTTATAGACTAATAATAACGTTCAGTCTGACTTTTATTTACTGTGAATACTGGTTTTAATGTACTCGAGTTATTCTCGAAAATGGCATTTCGAAATCGAATTCGTTGTTTTATCTGCGACGTAGCTGGGCAACCAAGGTAATGAAAAAAACTCCCCGCGAAAAACAGTTCAATATGATTTAAATATGGTTCATATTGCTCATTTATATAAACTAAATTAAACTCAAATAAAAACCAAATGTTAAATTTAAAAGTAATTAAATTCATATATCTTTTAAATATGCATCAAAATTAAATTTAAATATGTTCTTGCTATTGGATTTAACTTGTCCAGACGCATATATGCATCATATTAATATTTAATAAGCATCTAACCAACCTGAGTTTCTAATTTGATTTATATTTGGAACAAATAAGATTTTAATTAACACACAAATTGAAATGTGTCAAGATATTGTCATTTGCGTAAAAGTAAATTAAAATTAAAATTATTTTATTTAAGCAGTAATAACATAAAAAAAAGAATTCTTTCCTGAGTCTATAGATAAAGAGGTGTCAAAATAACATTAATATAATACATAATAAAAGTACAAAGATTTGCAGAAACAAAAAATGATGACTCGTCTTATTGTTTTATGAGATAAGGCTCTTTAAATAATTGTCTGTTATTGTAGTAGTATTATATTCATATTTAGTAGAATAATTATTATATAAAAGTAATAGTAATATAAAATAATAGTAATATAAAATACAAACAAAAAAGTTTATATATTTTAGAACTCGTATCAGATTGTATTAGCACAATAAACATCCATATTTACATATTCTTTTCATAATGATTCGGATGGTGGCAGACATAATCTGTCACCCTAATTACTTTACACAGTATATTGTTCATTTTAATGAGTAGTAATTCTTCTGAATTGTTGATTGGAATAATGTGCGAAACCTTAGTCCTGCTTGGGCGATGACAAATAATATTTCTCTGATTAACATTTAGCATCTTAATAATAACATATGTATCATTGTCACGCATTGATACTGAAAGAAAAAATTTTATTTCTCCATAGCCGCAAAAAAATGATGGTTCGTTGGTGAAAAATTGCACAGTGTAATTATTTCGCTTCTTTTCAGCTGTGTACAGAAGCGATGTAAGAATTTCTCTATTTATTTTAGCACGAGAAAATACACAAATGTTCTGATGGAGTAAGCCATTTTTATGCAGGATATGACGTTCAGCTTCAGATAATTTTATTAAACACTTGTTCATTAATTGAACATGATTATCAGTACTTAAATTTTCTGAAACATTGGATTGAAGTGCAATTTTGTTCCTTAAAATTTGAATACCATAAACTAATTTAATGTTTTTCACAAGCTCTTTCCCAGGATTTTTACTTCCATGAATGCAATGAGCTAGAACACCATTATAACTCTCAAAACCAAAAGCAGATGTTGCCCACAGTGGCCCCCACCTTCTTACATATAAAGGAAGATGAATTAATGTATGAACATTGTACAAATAATCCTTTTCACGGTACAATTGTCCAATATCTCTTACAAATAGCTTGAGCATGGTCTCTGCCATATCAATATCTGTAGGACTTATCTCTTCTTTTAATAACAAATAGATAGACATTACAAAGAGGGACCAATGTTGAGAGTACACAAATGCCATATATTTGGAAATAATTGGTAATGAATAAAATAAAAGCCAGGAACGGAATTCACTTGCTTTCCACCTACAAGCATCTGATGTTCCTCGTGGCAGCCTTCCAATAGAAGTAGGAGGTCTAATATTCATTATTATGTTATCAATTTCACCAATATATTCACGAATACACCATGGTCCTGGCACACATATCCATAACATTAGGAAATGACGAACAACTCCCAAACAAACAGTGTGCATATATTCTGCAACTAAGAAGGTAGCTAGATCAAGTCTAGGTACTAATTGTAACAGTGATGGCCCTTTCACTCCTTTCACAGCTTTTCCTTGTTGATAGGCTTCTTGTCCTTGCCTCTTCAAACGTTGTTCTTCTCGAAGTCGTGCAGGCTCTTCTTTGAAAAGAAATCCTCGTCGACGCTGTATGCGTTTCCCTTTTGCTCTTTTAGCTAATTCTTCTGCAGTAAATGTTATCTTCTCAGTCTTCTGCTCACATGTATTGCATGCATATTTTGAATTGTGACTTTTCATATTCAAAAGATCAGCACGAACTGGAGCATCAGCACTCGCTAAAGGAGCCACAACTGAAGATAATTGCTGAACTTTACTGGTTGGATGACACCATAAAACACCTCCCTTAGCATAAATGGTACGCAAGGAGTCAAGAAATGGTCTCATTAAAGTGCTCATTGGTGGTTTACGAAAGTCACACCATATACTACAAACAATTAAGAATGAGAAGCGAAGGTGTGGAGGCACTTCACATATTACAAATTGTACAGGATATAAACTTTTTGTAGAACTGTTACTAATAGAAATACCGTCGGTTGCCCACATTAAAGTTAAGTGATAGCTACCATTAACTTTAACTCGAGCATATTCACTGCCATCACAAATGTCTCTCAACTTGTCATCAGCAGGAGGCCTTTCATTCTGGTATCTATCAATTACATCTGCCAAGTTACAACACTCTAAATAAAACTGCAGTAAGGATATTTTCTCTTTAAAAGGAATCTGCTTTTCAACAAATTTTAACAGCTGATGTAAAGATTTTGGCATCTTATTTGGTTGAGGTAAATACTTAACAAAAGTTAAAAGATTATCATGAAGACTCTGTTTGCTTTCCCTATTAGTGTGATAATTTTCCATCAAATCCAACACAGCTTCGTTAACAGTTTTACTACAACCTTCATACAATTTATAGTTTGCTTCACTTTCTTCTTTATCTGGTGACATCAAATTACTTTCATCGGAGCTAAGATAATCATTATCTAAATCTTCTAAATATTGAATATTTTGAATATTTAGAACGCTTTCATTGTCACTGCTGCTCCTTCTGTAATTTCCCTCAGAATGTGCAAAACTGCTCTCACTATCAATCATTAAAGATGATTCATCCGATGAATGGTGAGCACAATCTAATGAAATGTGAGATGGTTTTTCAAAATCTAAAGATAATGTTCCTTGATTATGAAGAACAGGCGAAGTGACGACATCACAATATGTAGGTGTAGAATGCTGAAACATTGTTGATGGCATTTATCAATTACTTTGGTTTGGAAATATTCTAGAGTTAAGAGCAGTATACTATTGTTCTAAAAAGTCTTTTATTCAAATACAGACAGAATAGCCTGAGAAAATGAATATTATTTACCGAAATTTCACTTGTTTTACTGCGATAGGATAAAACTTTCCAATTTCGTTTTTTCTGCGGAGGACTGCCATCTGCTTCCAGGGGCGATGAGAATGATGATTCTGGTATGGAACTTGATGAAGGAGAGGATACTACATTCTTGTTGAATTCGAATTTATTGATGAAATTGATGATGTAAAGGATGATTCTTCCACAAATGTCATTCTGTTTTCATCTTATAAAATTATGAAATTATATGTGTGCATATAGCAGTATAATAATTTAACAAGTTTGTTAAATAATTAAATTGATAA